GAGCGGAGGAGAGGACGGAGGTGTGGGAGGAGGAATGGAGGATGAGGAGGGCGGAGGAAAGAGGAGGCAGCGGGACGGGAGGGGGAGTGGAAGGAGGAGGAGGAGGTGGAGGGAGCGGAGGAGGAGGGGGGATAGGGGCCAGGAGGAGGAGGGCAAGAAGAGGAAGCATGGAGCGTGATGCTGATCCCGTCGTGAGGCAAGCCACAAACATGAGACCGCGGGAGGGGAGGGTAGGAGGAGGGGGAGGAGGGGAGGAGGCAGCGAGCATAAATGCGCTGGCAACTATTTGCACAGCGGCTAGCGTGACGATGGCTCGTGCTGAGAGATACCTAATCGTTTTTCTTTGCAGCAATGCGCTGGCGACGACGGGGACCCATTCAAACCTCTATCCAAACATTCCGGCCGACGCGTCGCTTGCGAACGGCACAAGGAGGGCGCGGGTGCTGTACGATTTATGACGCGCTGATAGACAAGAGCTCTCCCTCCTAGCAGACGAGGTGAGCATCTGGTGATGATGACCATGACTGTGACGAGGACGATGATGATGGTGATGATGATAGGCAGGAGCTTTCCCTACTAGCAGACGAAGTGAATATCTGGTGATGATGACCATGACTGTGACGAGGACGATGATGATGATGATGATGATGATAGGCAGGAGCTTTCCCTACTAGCAGACGAAGTGAGTATCTGGTGATGATGATCGTGACTGTGACGAGGACGATGATGATGACGATGATTTGCAGGAGCTCTCCCTACTAGCAGAGAAGCAAAGTGACATTATCTTGGTGATGAATGACTTGTGACTGATTTTTTTTTTTTCTGACGAGGACGATGATGATGACGATGATTTGCAGGAGCTCTCCCTACTAGCAGACGAAGTGTGTGGCTTTGTTGTCCTCATGAGTATGTGATGAGATGACGGTGACAGTGATGATGACGATAACGATGTTGATGCTGATGGGTAACGATGCTGATTATGATCATGATCGTCATGATGATGATGGCCGTGATAATGATGACGACGACGACGACGATGATGATAACGGGGATGAAGATGATGATGCTGGTGATGTTGATGAGGATGCTGGTGATGATGATGATGATGGTGGCGATGCTGCTGCTAATGATGTTGAGTGAGAGTTAGCCTAGTGAGGTTTGTAATGGTAACTATTCGTTGTCTTCAGTGCGTGCGCCTGGAAAAGAGGTTATACTGTCAGTTTTAGTTGAATTGAATGCGCTGGAAATGATAACCATCTGAATGCAATCTGCGTGATTGGGTTTGACATTCGCTTGGATGCTGGGTTGGGGCGGGATACCCGAAAGAGAGAAAAGTGAAAACAGACGATAAGAGATTTGTGTGTTCGTGCGTGCATACATGCTTACGCGCGTGTGTGTGTGTGCGTGCGTGCGTGGCTGTGCGTGCGTGCGTGCGTGCGTGCGTGCGTGCGTGTGTGTGTATGTGTGTGTGCTACATGTATGTAGGCCTACTGATGGGGAAAGCTTGATGCCTCCTCCTCCTCCTCCTCCTCCACTGCTGCTCATTCAACACGACACAGGCTCGTAATCCCACGAATACCGCACGGCAGGCGCCACCCGCCGCTCCCTCCCCCTCCCCACCGATACCTCCTAGTTAACGATTAAATGGTGCAAAATCCATGGTCGGGAAATTGTGTAGCGGCCGCGTAAGCGTGTGTTCGACACTTTATTAGCCTTCACGGCAAACAGATTAAACTAAATGCAAAATTACTCGACATATTCCCGTAATTTGCTTCCACATAAAACGCTCAATGCCCGTAATAAATTTCCGCTTTATGTGTTCAATAATTCTTTCTAACGGCCATCTTTCGTGTGCTGCCTGTTGGCTATTGTCTAGCAACAAAAGCTTACATGCAATGGATGACTACCATTAGCGAAACAAATTACATCACCTAAACCAAATTTTCCGACTATGGTAAACGCGCTAGTAAATTGCGTGAAAGCTTGCAAAAGAAAAGTGTAATAGACCAGAAGAAACGACTTTTCGGGATTACGTCGAGGCAAGCGTGTCCTTTCACGATAGTGACTGTCACGCCATTTTTCATGATATTCATCAACTTGTTATTCAATAGAATGCCGGCAGGCAATGAACACAGCACGAGTATACGCACGATAAAATGCCTCATTCGTCACGGCAGATTCTACAACATGCACTGCCTACATCTGTATTTCACGCGAGCGCCTAAATATGATGCTGGCACAGCGTGTTCACGCGAAAATAAATAGAGATACGAACCGTAGCGAAAGACGAGAGTGATCAGGACAGTATCACGGCGTGATGTTAACAGGGGGAAAAATAATGATTCGGACTCATACAAATGTTTCAAACAGTTTTTCTCGTCTAATGTCGAAATGCACGTATACGGCTTTAGCGCATAGAGGAATTGCTTGGCAGGCAGTTGCCGAAGCATTGTCGTAAAATGCATTCATCCCCCGTGTGGATTTTGCGTTCGCTCGCTACTGGGCAGTGGGGACCCTTAGCTCGCAACGACAACAGCAGCAGCAGTTGCTATGCTGTGCAGCTTCTACGTGGATACCTAATATATGTAGCACACACCCGCACGCGCGCGCACACGAAATAATGTAATCACACATAAATTAATAAAGCGTATAATAATAAACTAAATTAGTTACATACGTAGAAGCGTGCATGATGATTATATTATTTTATTATCGTACCTTAAGTGAAAAAAATTATGCCGATGCAATTGTATTATAATTGAGAAAGCATATGCATGTGAAATGAATATATGTACCTGACGCCCAGCAACCGTTGCTAGGTAGCTAGTAATCAACGTGAATGCAGAACATTGTATACTATAATATACCATAATCATTATTTATATCAAGATCATATAAACTTTATATATTCTCTTGCTTATCAAACGAGGTTTACATAACAAAATATTTATATATTACAGATGCTCTCTTTCAAAATATTTTCTACGTACATTGCATTATTAATATAGCTCATCAACTGTAGATGGTTTTTTAAACAGACAACGCCAACGAATCTGCAGTTTTGCCATCAAACATTCGCCGATGTGGTCGAAAATATTAGATTAGATTCATTAGATAAAAAAAACACAACTTCCATGTGGAGCTTCCCTGCCCACGAGTCAGAAGTCTGAGGATCGGCTAGAATGAATAAACTTACAAGCCTCGCCACGTAAAAGTGCACTCGGTGTGGACACTACAGCAGCTAACAACCAGATTCACCACAAGCCAGGCGGTTGACAAAAGCAGATACAAAGGAATTATCTCAGGCACATACTATGAAACGATTAGTCTATCTATTATTCAATCTGCATGCTTTTTACCAACATATTTATTTATATATGATATGCACTAGCATATCCGAATTTGTACACGCACATATTCTCCTATCCGCATGTGTGCGTGCATGCATGCGTGTGGCATGTGTGTGCGTGCATGCGTGTGGCATGTGCGTGCGTGCACGCGTGTAATTAATCATGCATTATTGTATTGTACCTTGCTACTTCCTTCTGTAGTTCTTGCATCAGCTGGAAACACCGACCATAGTAGGACATCTGCGTCTCCACAAGGTCATTCAAGCATCGCAGGTGATTCGCCTGTAAAACAAGGGAACATTCGATAAAACAAGCAAACGTTAAATGTCGCCCAATACGCGTGAAACGGACAAGTCTTTGAAGTTTGAAACTACTGTATGTTGTTTAGTTATTTTAATTACGTCCTTCACATGTCTAAAGAGAAACAGAAGAGTCAAAACATAGCACACACTTAGCAATTTACTCAACATAAAGCAACTGTGTGCACAGAATTTTTCCAAAATAAGATGCTCATCTATTTTTCCTCTACAGACGCCTTGCAACAAACTAAACAGTAGGTTTGAGTGAGACCATAAAGACATCAGCTATGCGACTGGGGAAAAAAGCAGTAATCACACGCTATGCTCTTACACTTGAAATTCTGCCATTGACCATTAGGCTATATGATACTCTCTTGGGAAGCAATGACAGGTGTTTGTGGAACAAATTAATATATATGACAAATTGTTTTTATTGTCAACGTTTCCCGTGGGAAAAATGGGAAGCATCTTACGATTCCGTGACAACCTAATTAGAATCTGAAGTTCTACAACTAGCATCTCTTGGCTGCATTCTCTAACAAAATTGTTAGAACTAAAATGTTTTTGCTACGAGATTTATTTTACAGATGCGATCGAGACATCTCTCGAGTTTTGAAAAACAACTGTTTAGATTTAGTGGGGAAAATTGCGAAAGGGGGTGCGAGTGCAAGAGAGAGAAACAGATAGCGAGCGAAGCAAGAATGAGAGAGTGACATAGATAAGCAGAAAGATAGATAGAGATAGATAGATAGAGATAGATAGATAGAGATAGATAGATAAATAGATAGATAGATAGACAGACAGACAGACAGACAGACAGACAGACAGACAGACAGACAGACAGACAGACAGACAGACAGACAGACAGACAGACAGACAGACAGACAGACAGACAGAGAGACAGAAGACAGACAGTCAGATAGACAGGCAGATAGACTGAGAGCGAGTGAGAGAGTGAGCGAGCGAGAGAAAGAGAATGAGAGAGAAGAGAGAGAGAGAGAGTGAGAGAGAGAGAGAGAGAGAGAGAGAGAGAGAGAGAGAGAGAGAGAGAGAGAGAGCGGAGATGAAAAGGAGAGAGAGCAGAGACGCAGAGAATGAGAAAGGAAAGAGAAAGCAGAAAGAGAGCAGAGAGAAGAGAGAGCGAGAGAAGAGAGGAGAGCGCAGAGCGAAGCGAGAAGTAGATGCAGACGAGAGTAATGAGAGAGAGAGAGAGAGAAGAGCAGAGAGAGAGAGAGAGAGAGAGAGAGAGAGAGAGAGAGAGAGAGAGAGAGACGTCCATGGGGATGACCCACGTGAGCACTGCTGACTCCTTCTAGAAGCAGCTTGGTGATCTCCGTCTGTCGATCAAACTCGGACTGCGCCACCCGCAGTTCAGCCTCCGCCTGAAACGACCGCATCATCACCGGCGTAAATTCATCGTGCAAGAGTTATACATGCGCAGCAAAGAAGTTGATATATGTCCAATTCCCAATTCACACATCTACGTTTCCGCGCATACCAACGCAAATCTTACGTGAAGCAATTACTGTCAAGACATGATTCTTACCTTGTCCACTGACAAATAATCCTGTGGTGTGCATTAAATGGAAATTATTGCTCTAATTAATTTACAAAAAGCCATCCTTTATCACTCTCCTAGAAGCCCACAGCCACGCACACAATCGTCCAATCTCGCACAGATATGCACGCACACACTTATACACTAACACATGTGCACGCATACACGCGCATGTACTGTGTAACACCAAAAAACTAATATTACGTAACACATGAAATTTACTGTGCGCAGCGGATTCATACACATGTATCATTGCAGAATAAAACTGAATTGCTTTTGCTCTCTAATCTAAATTATCTAAATTTCAAATTTATTTATAACCAGCATGATTTCAGACGATTGAGATGTTCTGGCGTCAGGGAGACTGGGCTAGCAACAAGAAACGGCTAACGAAGTACAGCCACATATTTCAATTGCCAACGGTCGCCATGTTTGCTTACGTTCGTTTGTGATTCCAATGATTTTGCCTTCCTCAGTCTGTTCTTGCAGGCATCTAGATCCAGGCGCTTGGTCTCGAGAATTTTTCTCTCTTTCTGCAGCAAAATTACGGACTAAAATTCTGATCTAGGTCTTTATCTATATCTTCGGTTCAAGTACATTTGCTGTCGCTGCACTTTAATTTCATGCAATTATTGTTATCTATAAGAGACACAGCATTAGAGACTTTTATGCAGCATGCAAAGCTACAGTCAGCAGAAAATGTGCACAAATTAACTAACTCTTTCTGTTACTGCGTCATGTGTGGGTGTATGTGCATCACGACGTGTGTTTCACGTTACTATGTTACTTTATTACATTTATATTACATGCGGATTTCACATTCTTACTTTTATTTATTATATCTACATTACTTTCATTATATTTCACGTGTATAATTTTCATTCGTATCCGCCAGTATTGACACTGGCGTGAATGCACACACACACCACACGGCGAGTAACACGGCTATCGGAATCCCTAGGGAGCGGTATCGTAAACAATTTACGATTATTGGCACGTTCACTCTGACACGCCTGCCCCATACGACAGCAACATAGCGTAAAGCCTGAAAATCTAAGGCAATCCGGAAGTGATAGGGTTGAGAGAGAGGCAACAGAATATAGGCTCAACAAGCTTACGACAGCAATAAAGGACTGTGATCAAGTCCCACAGATATGTGAGCGAGGGATGGTTGGAGGATCACGCGATTCAGACCAAGGTGATATCCTAGGACACACGAGATCACCTGAGATATTAGGAACTCTTGTGCTGACAATTAATATTCTACATCATTACGCTACGTAATAAATTGCCATATTAATCACAACCGAAACGTGTATCAAACCTGTATTGTCTTCATGTCTCCCATGAGAAATGTGTTTAGTGGCATCAGGAAGGCACTACTGATCTTATGCAGGTACTCTTTCTCGGCGTGACCAATCCGCTGTTCCGTCTGACCGCACTTGATGAGTGCCGAACCTGCGTGAACATGCAGCAGAGGTCACGTGGAGGTCACCGGATGGTCCTCCACGAGAACCAAATAAGGAAAGCGAGCTCTACGTCTCTACGCATCTCACAAGAATCGTGGACCGCGACGAAATATCCGCCCGATCTAATATAAGCAATCGTTAACGCGCGAAGAAGTAAACGAGCAGCAGCGAACGAAGAGAATTCCCTCCTGACACTTGCCGAGCAAATTTTATCTCGGGATTATTTGCATCCCTTTAAAACAGTTTGACATTGTTACGACATTTTGCGCACATTCGTTTTAACGCGATGTACTGACGGCAGCGTAGCCACACGATCGTCGATGCGGAAAGGACATTCATAGAAGAAGAGAAGGCGAGAGGGACAAGAACACGACAATCGACGCAGAACGCTACCCCAGCGCCTCCTGGCGGTGCTTACCGTACGCAGTTCCTGGCCCGATGTCACTGCCCGCATCCACCATGACCTGACCCAGTATCTCATGATTCGTCTCACGCTCCTTCGGCTTCTTGACTGGCGCGTCGAGTTGGCCGAGCTTGTCGTACACAAACTCTTCCAGCCGCACGTCTGCAAAGAACGAGGTCGTGGCGCCCATCTGAGTGACCGCACGCACGTTGGTCGCCAATGGCAACGGCATTTAACGCGGCAGCCAACAGAGGGAGATAAATAGCAGGTGAACAGCCAAGGAAATGGTGAACACACTTCGTCGTTTGATGTGTTAGCTCTATAGAGGGAGTTATCAAATTATACACATGAAAGAGGAAAGGTTTCAGCTCTAGGCAAGCTTCCATTGTCAGTCTCCCCATTTTTTGCGAAATGAACAATGTAAGAAGAAAGTTGCGAATGGCAATGGTATGCCCCAATATTACATGAAATAATAAAATGTCTAACATGACATCTACGACATATACGTAATACATGATTTAATGATGAATAACATAGCAACATGCAGGCCTGCCCTCTGTTCCATCGCCATCAACCTATCTAGGTAACTATGAGCGTCGTCGTGCGTAGGCGTGCACGTGCGTGCGTGCGTGCGTGCCTGCCTGCGTGCGTGCGGACGAGCGGGTATGTGTTTGTGTGTGCGCGTGCGTTCGCGTGTGCGGGGCGTGTGCGGGTGCGTGCGCGTGGGCCCGCGCATCTGTGTGCTTGCGCGCGCGTACAACCACGTGCCACAAATAAGTATCTCTCGAGACGAATCAATACAGGCCATGCATGCTTGCGCTTGACCGGCCTGCATTCCTGCCTGCCTGCGCGCCTCCCCATCATCCTCCACACGTGTTGACCGATCGCGGAAAGTTATTTTGTAACGTCGATCAACATTTGCATGTAATCCACAAGGTGATCATCAATCATTTCTGGTAGAGCGCGAGCGCACGCGGCGGCCGGCACAGCCGCGGCCGAGACACGCAGCCGAGATGCCGCGTGGCGCGCAGACGCCGACGTGTAGCGGAGCAGCCTAGCTCCTGCCGTGCATTCAGGAGATGGTTCCGTGATGGATATCGAGAGAAACCCGAGCTTACAACGATGACACATCTTACAGCTGGCTGCAAACACACACGCGCGAGTGCACGCACGCACGCACGCACGCACGCACGCACGCACGCA